AACTTTTCCATTGTCGTGTGTACTGTTGGCGTCGTGAATATTCAATTCAAACGTTTCATATGGTATCGAACTCCGTTCAAATGTTTCTGCGAGTCTCACTGCACTACTTGTAGCGTGACTGTGAATAAAATTGGACATTGCGGTGCAGGTTTGTGGTATAGACCAATACTGATATGTATTAGCTAAGCTTTAGATCTGTATATGCCGCGCTATCTGTGTAGTACTAACTGTATCCATATTTTCTGTTGTGATGGCGGGTGTTGTGGTATTTACACAACTGCATACGTAACAGCAGTGGCGTGATTCTCACAGTGCACGACTGTTTGTTTCTTCACTTTGTCAGGATGAGAGTACGCCACTACACCTCGCTTGTCAAAAAGGGCACCAAGAAGTGGTGCAGCTGCTGTCGGAGAGGAATACGAACGTGGAGGTCTTAAACGGCGTACGTAAGAGGTCTTCAAGTATCACACACGCCGTGTGCATTATGTTGTACTGGGTCATGGTCAGAGTTGTTCACAGCGAGTGTTTTCTCGTGGGTGTGTATACATGTAGCTACATGGTGATAACGTCCCACGGCGAGTCCCTGACTTTTGGTACGCTGCAGAAATGCGTGTGTAGCTGGCAATTCCCCTGTCTTTTTTTGTGCTATTCGTTGATTTGTTCTGTGTACACAGTCGTAAAGCTTATTGTTTCTGTACTTGATGCTACGCCATGGTAAACTCATGAGGCGCGGTAGTAGTGTAGCAGCAAGTAATATGATGATTTTCTTTCACATCTCGATTTGGTGGCGACAAAGTTCGTGTCATATTCGTTTACAGTCTGTCACATTGGTATACAATGTCGATGTTCACGTGTGTGTGACGTTTACTATGACCCGAGCTGTCACGCCTGAGTCAATTCTGCGAACTCATGATGTGTCTGGTTTGGATCCTGTCGTTGTTTCTACTCAAAGTACACCTACATAGTGAACCATACTGTGGAGTTCGATATAACAAATTGCCTAATTACATTCGCATTTCCGATCAATATGCAGTACGTATATAAGTGATATATAAGCTGTGTCATTTGTTCGTCATGGATTGTCTTGTTTGTGAGCTCGATTAATACGACTGTGCTGCATGCCTAGGTGCAATTTCTTGCGTGTCGTATGGAGAAGATCTGCATTATGCAGACCAAACATGTTTTCTATTGTGCATCAGCATTCGTATAATTCATAGGTAGTCGTATGGTCAGTGCAATACATTTGTCAGATGAATCGTCAAGGAGTACAGCTGCACTATCGTAATGAAATCACACATTGTAAACAAACACAGTATGCCAGGTGCGCGTCTCCGAAATTGGATTGCATGTACGCGACCTACTTGAATGTATGACTATATGACTAATGCATGACCAATCCGTGAATGAAATAGGGTATTGCGGCGCAGGTTTGTGCTATAGACCAATACAGACATGTTGTAGCAATGTTCCTGGTCTGTATATCCCGCGCTATCTGTGTAGTACTAACCATATCCATATTATCTGTTGCGATGGCGGGTGTTGTGGTGTGTGCACAACTGCATACCTAACAGCAGTGATGTGGTTCTCACAGTGCACGACTGTTTGCTTCTTCCCTCCCTCAGAATGGGAGGACGCCACTGCCCTTCGCTTGTTATTTTGGCCACAAAGAAGTGGCCCAGCTGCTCCTGGAGAGGAATGCCAACGTGGAGGTCAAAGACAACGTATGTAAGAGGTCATTAGCTACCTCGCACGCCGTACGCATGGTTTTATACGTCGTTGTCTGATTTGTCAAATGTCGTGAGTGTGCATATGTTTGGGTACTTGATGGGAGTATACTGGATGTTCGCGTTGCAAGTTGTCATCTAAGGTCCATGACCAAATATTTAACTTCAGACACTCTGCAATAAAGCGCGTGTCACAGTCAACTTTTCCATCCTTTGTATGCTTTTTGATGATAATTTTAAGTACCCTGTCGCACGGCACATTATTTCGGTACTTACTACCAAATCAGAGTTGCAACGTCGCTGTAGTAACGGTTGTTAAAATATTGACGTTGTTGATATCTAGTTTGAATACATGTGTAATAGTCTGGATACATGCGTCCCACAGAACGGTCGTATCGTTATATGATGTCTCTGTCTGTCATGATTGACTATGTATACCCTGACGCAAGGCTTATCGTTTGCGTACTTATTTCTAATTCAGAGAATAATACGTGTATTCTTAAAGATATCTAGTTCAAATATATTGGTATGTGTGTACGATTTGTCTGAGTAAATACGTCCCACAGAAAAGTCGTCTCGTTTGTATGATGGTTGCATCTGTCTTGATGGCGTACAATGCTGATATTTATGTGTGAAAGTCGTTTACTATGATCTAATCTGTCACGCCCGAGTCAAATCTGCGACTTCATGGTGTGTCTGGTTTAGATCTCTGCCGATGAGTATACCCGGCATTTGAGGTACACTTACATAGTGAGTCATAAATGATGGTGAATACAAGGCCTGACTACATTTGCATTACCGACATATATGAGGTACATATTGACATGATCTACGAGCTGCATAATTTATTCATTCATTGGTTTGCTTGTTACCATTGGGTTGGTTGGTGTGTTGGTTTTTGTATGTTCAGTCGTTCGTGTGTTTGCTTGTTTGCTTGTTCGCTAGTTCGTCCCTTCATCTGATTTTTTGTTTGTTCATTGGTTTTTTGTTTGTTATTTTGTTATTTGATGTTTGTTGTATATCACGTGCATGGTTCTCGATTGATATGGCTATGTTGCGTGCATGGTGATATCTCTTGAGTGTTGTATGAAAAATTTCTGCCTGACGCATATTCGACGCTGGATGGTAATGTGTTGCATAAGTAGCGGCGTGTTGAATGAGTACATTTCGCAGTGCCAACCTGAAAGGCTCGATGCACTTTTTCATTTATTCTATTGTTTTCTGACAGACTAACCAGGTTTCAATATTCCGTATAAACATTCATAGAATTCAGAAGTTGTTAAATATCACGTGCAAGACAATAGTATGATGAATCGTCGAGTGCGCCATACTATCGTATTTGAATCTAATCTCTTTCGCATCTTGTGGACAAGCACGATATTGCAAGAGTGGGCTTTTGCGATCAAATTGCACAAGCTACTTATAATTACGGCCCAGTTAAGAGCAGATGACAGTCAACTTGCAGTACTGAATATATGCCTACAGAGTGCAATAGACATGCCGTTTTATTCCGGAAAAGGAATTAAATTCATTTTGATGTAGAGACCATTGATAGATGTGTGCGTTGAAGTGTTAGAGTACTTGTGAACTGTTACGTGGGTTCTCTCATCGTTGATTGGTTGTCGCTGTTGAAGTTGTGGCAGCTTCTCCCGACATGTGCGTTGGCATAAGCTCACCATGTGCAAGATCGCTCAGTTATTGTTCCCAATTCAATGCCAAATGTGTCACCCCGTTTGTTTACTGGCAACTTGTCGGCTGTCTTATTAAGATTCTACGCTATGGTATTGCGTTGCGATCACGGCACTTGCTGCTGAAGATCGTGGGTCGTGCTTCATGTCCAGGAGCTGTTGGTTTCATTCCGTTGTTCAAATGGGAATGACTGTCGTCTAGTAGTGTGTGAATCTGTACATATGTGCGTCTGGCCTGCAAATAAGCTATAAAGGATACAGTAATGATCTTACAGTTTCCCAACGTGTAGATTACTGCATCTGCTATTCTGACCGTCTGGGATATCCATCATGTATTATCGACAGCATGGACAATCTCCACTGGATTATTGTAACGATGATGAGATGGAACAATTTTTACGGGAAGTAATTCAAGAGAGACAGGACCCGCATGCGAAGGTATCACTTCATCGGGGTTTTCTGGCTAAGACAGTCGTTTCTCCATAATCGAGTCGTTCCAGCTAACGGTCTGATGTGACTGCGACAGGCAAATATGGGATATGGTCATTTGTTACGCACGTATGTGATGTGTATGCCTGTTATGTCCGCCACCTACAATGCGATCGTGTTTGGTGCCACTGACAGGACATGGGCTCCGCAATACCGCAATGGGGTGAACCTCTTGTGCTGCTCATGTGCCGTCGCAAACTCTGTACGTCGGAGTGTTTCTTCTATACTACTATGCAGATATACGGTTGTAGTTGGGTTGGCCAGTGTTTTATGTCAGATTGGTATAGTACCGTGAACCCTAGTTGTCTTTAATATCATTGAAAGCCAAGTATATGTCAACAACCTGATGGCTTATTGAATATGGTTGTTAAGATTCATCACAGCTACACAAGAAACGCGTATGGCTGCTAGGGAGCCCCATTCAACGGTGACTGTCGCTGTGTATATGAAACATTTACTGCATTACGAGTATTCCTGAGAGGTGTACCATACTCCCAATTGCAGCAATCCGTAGTGCTACTTTTCTTGTTTTGTGATGGTAGACTGCTGTCTGGCTGAGATAGCGGAGGGTGTTCGTATACTAGGTGATGAGGTCGTAGTGAAATATTGAACAGTTGAACACCCTTGAGTCACGTATTGCTACAAAGATGCGACTACCACACTCCGCAAAGGCTATGATTGCTAGTCCGGCATACTACGGCTGCGGTAGTATTGTACTATGATGGTGTCGGCACCTACGTCTAGAGTGTCGTTAATGTTATACGTTCTTAGATTGGGAAATCATGGTCAACCTGTATGTCGTGTGCGCCGTTGTCGCGAAATTGCCAAATTTATTTATTTATATATTTGTTGCTATATTTTCTATCAATGTCGTGTACTATGTGTAATCTGGGCTGCAGGACGCGGAGATGTCTCCACGTACTTACGCACACTTCGCTGTATCTGTATGCGGTATATCGATTTTAAAACTACTTACATCCAGCTGTTAAACAAATTCGATCGCCGTTTTCAGATTTGAGTATACGTACAAACCATGATCCACTGCATACTTACTCATCTCCGTCCATACTCATTTACCCTTTATCACCTGATCACTCAGCGCTTTGAGTCTCTGAACAGATTCGTCCCGTGCATCCAGCAAGCGCGGGCGGACACTGCAGCGTTGGCGCAGCAAGCAGCGAGCGTTGCACTGCCCATTGGTGACGGACAGTCACTCGTGCAGTTCATTGCCGACGCCGATGCCTGCTATCAACACACCACACACATGCGACAGGCACGACAGCAGGCCATCGACCTGGTGACATGGTGCTGTGATGTGTTACGTGACATGGAGAATAGCTCAGCAGCCGAGAACACGTTTTAGAGGTGGCGCTGGAAACCTTCACCGCACTCCAAACACAGATTCGTGAGGCGGATAATGTGCAGGATGGGACTGTCGCACAACGCGACCGTATGCGGCGAGAGTGTATCGATCTGATTGCGACAGCTCTGCAACATCGACCCACCAATCCAAATACTCAGATTGGTGCATGTGCTATCGAGACACTTGCTGAGCTCCGAACACGTTCACACGACCCACCGGAAGATATGACAAATGATGTGAATCTCGAGGATGTCCAGAGACTGTGCAGATATGCCAGGAGTGAAGCCTTGCGGTTCGCCTGTGATCTTGGCTATGAGTCCGCTGTCAGTGCAGAGTGCGACGCTGCGATAGCCAATGCGCGCGACACGCTCGTGGGCGCGTTGTTGCGGGAGTTTGGGTACAACGATCTCAACGCAAGTAGTAGGCGGAAGTGCATGGACGAGTGCGTAGCTGGTCTGAGTGCAGAGATGGCCTTGCAGGAGAGAACCGCGCACAAGCTGTCGGAGCCCCAAGAAGTGTTGAGGTGTTGTGTTCACTGGAGTCTGCGTTGGCAGCTATTGCCACGTACTACAAACAGGCCAATGATTATGATGATAAGCGTGCCCAACGGAAGTGGCAGCATATCCAGTTGACTGAGGGGTTGACGGCCCCTGACTTGTCGGTGGTGGAGAGACAGCCTCAGATAAGCCTAGATATAGCAAAGCAACGCAAGAAGTGGAAAGGCCACATCCTCATAGCCGATACAGACACCGAAGAAGCCGAGGTGCGACAAAGGTGCGCAGAGTGGGAACGCGACACCAGGGCCCGCGAGAGGGCTGCTGGCCGAGAGGTGGCGGCGTGGCTGCAGTTTGCCAAGCGCCACTACCCCGAGCTACTTAAGCATCCCAGTGTGCTGCAGTGCTTTACAGTGGACGAGCTGGAGTGTGCGAGGCTAGGGCTTCTGCGCATGGGGGAGACGGAGACCAACTACCCGGCGGGTGAACTACTGTCGGGACGGCCTGGGCGGAATGTGTGGCGGCGCACGGATGCGAGTGGGAAGGATGTGGTGGTCAAGTCCTACAACCTCGCGTCGGTGCAGCATCGCTCGCACTTCTGCGGACGTGTGCTAAGCTGGGTGCGTTGCGCGGTGTGCTCAACATAGTGCCTGTGGTGGGGGTGTTCACAGAGAACGAGTGGGGCCGCGTGCTCATGCCGTACTACGCGAACGGCGACCTATCCGCGTGGATCAACGAGATCCTGCGCTGTGCCTGCGCATGGCCCACCAGATCACTGGACATTGTGCATTGTGGCCTCAAACCCAAGAACATCTTCATGACGTCCACGCATGAGGTATTTTGTATTAATATTGTATCAGTTTTGTATTAATACACTATCGCTACATTGCATTTGTTTAGTGTATCCAGAGGTAAATTAGAATATGTCGACCTTGTGGCCGACAGAACTGTCTCGCATTGGACTCGTTCTCTTGAATGTTAGGTCCATTGAGGACAGCTCTTCCTGTTCTGTGCTCGTTGATCAGTTTTGCACTAGGTCAAAACGCAGCCTAGACTTGACGCTACCTGGGGCACTCATCCCACCAATGTCTTGAGTTTCCTCATGCCACTCGCACCGATATAATCTGCCATGACTTATGTCTGCTCAGTCCGACTGAATGTTTTGCATTCGGTCAGCTGTCAAAGATCGACATTGTTGTTAGCTAGTTCACCCAGCTATCGATGACACACCGCTTCATATTGTACAATGCACTTCCACATAGGCCGATTGACCCAAGTTGTTTGCGACAGAGTACTATCAACCACCCCTTCGTGTACCCTTCGAACTTTCGTGTCTGGTATCAGATCGTACACCGCGCACATTTACTGGGCATTGTGTAGGACAGAGTTATCCTTATTTACCATGCTTGATGTCTGTCATAGGCCGCTCAAACCATGTTTGATTACACTTTACCCACATTTAAAAATGTTCTACTTTACTGTGCAGGCGTTGCTGGGTGACTTTGATGATGTGCGCGATGCCAAAAGCACTATGACATCGGCCGCGGGCACCACGCGGGAATACGCGGCCCCTGATATCCGTTCGCAGAATGTGAGCAAGTTACGTGTATTCGCTAGGGCTTGTTCTGCGCGAGCTGTTCCATGGGCTGTGTGTTACGGGCATCTACAGCACCGTGACCGACGCCGGTATTGCCAGTCTGATCCACCAAATGACAACTGATAAGGCCTCGGAGCGTCCCACGCTAGCGGATGTGCTCGCGATGCCCATCTTCAGTGAGCTGCACAGTGCGCGCATGTGTGGGGTATGTATGGACACCTATGCGGCGGTGGGCGGTCTCACGTGCAAGAACGGGCACGTGGTGTGCAACGACTGTGTGGACAGGGCCTTGGCGTTGGACATGAACAGCATCAACCATGTCGCGCGCCACAATGGACTGCTGCCGTGCATCATGCGGGTGAGTGGCTGTGACGACCTGTGGGAGCCCAAAGCATATGCACCGCATGTAACGAAGGCGACGTTCGACAAAGCCATGAGTCTGGTGAATAAACCTAAAGTCCGCGCAGAGGTGCTGTTGGAGCTGCGGCGCGAGGCTGCCGAGGAACGCGAGTTCAACCACATTGCCAACGAGATCCTGCCTCTGCGATGTCCGGGAATGGGACATGTGCTGGACGAGTCCTTTGACGCCTGCTTCGCCTTGACGTGCGACTCGTGTCCGCGCGAGAACAACGAGTTCTGTGCGCTGTGTTGGGGAAGTTTCGGAGGAGACACACGCTCACATGTGCTGCGGTGTGCCCTCAACCCACGTCCAGGCCAATTCTTCAAAGCCAAAAAAGTCTTTTACGAGCTGAGACGGAAGGACCGCTCGCAGAAATTGAGGGATTATTGGGCCACGCTCCATATGGACGATATTAACAAAGAGAAGCTGGCAGAGCGTGTGCAGCCCATACTGGATCAGTTGAAGCCTGAGGAGACGTACGGCTCTGTTTCCAATATCGTAGCTTAGAGTCCTGGACAATTCACCAGCGGTCCATTCATCATTCTATACACAGCTATAAGTGAATACACATAAATTAATCGATAGATATATCCCGATATTGTGATACTACAGCCACGGCATAGTGATGGCAGCAAACCCTAAAATCAGGCTTCTGAAGATCGTCTGTGCATGCCTTCGAGTACTTTGCCCTTGACAGACGCTCGATAACGTACAGTAAAGTGTACTTCTCAGTTATGTCGTATATTTTATCTGTGCGTTCCAAATACGAGCAAATTTTTACTCAGGCAGACCCGTACATGATTTTAAATTCGAGGTCAGGAGGTGGGGGGGGGGGGCGAGGTAATCGTAACATAGACCGTGGAACCCGAACAATTCCTGCTATTGAAGGGCAACGTTTAGTAAGATATTTATACAAGGCGTCAATCCAGTCACGTAGAGTTCCCGGCCACATCACTGTCCCAATTTGGAACACGTGGAATCTTGCCTTCAGGTTCTTGACATTGGTGTTTTCTTTTGTGCCGTATCGCTGAATGAAATGTTCGGGTCAAGCCGATACTCTTCACTAAACGCGCAGTACATTAGTCTAATTAGACACCGATTGTATTCTATAGTTTGCACTTCGCTGTTCAATCAGGTCCTGCAACAGTATCTTGTTCCCTATACACACCGATGGTATTAATTAGCGACAGTGGTATATCAAGTTCGTTGCAGCAGTGATACTGTTGCCAGTGAGTGTCTGGGAGTGGTGAGACTGAAGGTCTACAGAGAGCGGCCAGTATGGTACTGTGGTGTCTGAGTGCCAAAGCTGTCCGGCGATATACACCGCAGAGCAACAGGCGACACAAGACACGACCAGGGGGGTCAACTAAGAATAACACGTGTTTATATATATATATATATATATATATATATATCTATATATATATCTATATATATATATATATAATATAATATATATATATATATATATATATATATATATATATATATATATATACTANATATATATATATATAT